TTCACCGAGCGGGGCCGACAGGCAAACTACTTCCGGACCAGGGTGAGGCATTACTGTTTGAAAAATTCCGGGTTCTTGTGGCTCAAGCTTTCAAAGCGGGCTCTCATAAATCAAACATCGGACTTTCGTTGTTACCCAATGATAGTTCCGCCTCGAACATTTTTTCCATCCGTCTCAGAAAAAAGTCCGTAGAGGTCGAGCGGGGAGGGGGTATAAATGAGAAAAAAAATTACTGCGGAATTCTGAAAATTCTTCAAAGTATATCAAATTCTTCTCACCCCCCCCCCTCCAACACACACATACACATGTTTAAACTTTTCTTTCGACACCTTCCAAAATTACAATGCTAATTTCACAAAATAGCCTTTCTTTAAAAATCAAAGCAAAAATCACAAGTACGACCATCCCCATAGGGAAGCCCAACAAATCGTGCGGACCCGCATTACGACGCCTTCACGGGAGTATCAGACATGTGGCAAAATTTACGATTGCGAGGCACATAGTTCAGGAGAAAGCGGCAGGCGGACTAGAATTTGTCCCTGCAGATGACTGAACTCATCGCAAAAAGTGGGTCTAGCGGCGAAATAGGGGAGGAAACTCTGGTGAGATTCGGCTGAGGATGATGCCTAATGTTGATTTCGATTGAGCGATGGTGCCAATTCATTCCGTGCTTTCACATTCGTTACAAGGAAAGCTTGCGCCCCTTTAGACTTCCTACGTCCACCCACACAGCCAATTTTCATTCCACTGGAGTCACTTGATTGCTACCACACATACCTGGAAGACTAAAAACACTGGGCTGCCAAAAGTCGTTTATAGGGCAGCCATCAATCATCTTAGGATTCTTGCTTGGAAGCAGAGTGCATGGCGCGCTTCAAAAGGCTTGATCTGTGCTGACCATTTCACACGATATCCCCCTTGGCCTCCTAAGTTGATGAGGTCGCTCCTTCCCGCTAATATTCATAGAAAGTGGTGATTGGCAAGAGTTCAATTCAAAGATCCTCTCTAGCCACCACTCTCTATCTCGGAAAGCTCCTGGTGAAACTCTGTCTTCTCGGCGTCGCGTGCTCAGATTGTGCAAGCAGAGCAGTTACAGCAGTCGCTTTAGCCTTCGGCATAGCTCAAATTCAACAATACTCCAGAATTATACGAGACTATGACAGTAATCCACGCTCCCCCGAGTGCTTGACGCCCCGCCCATTTCTATCCGTGACATGCGGTGTCTGACGGCCTTGGCGTTCAATGTCGACCAGGGCCATATTCGTATGTGGCCTCGGGTGGTGAGCGGTGGTCAAAGACCACAGAAAGCCCCGGCTGATCATTCCGATCATCAATTTCGACGTAGTTTACTCAGATATTTACGTGAGTTTTTCGATTTTTTCAAAGACATTTCAACCATCGGGCCTAATCTGACCGTTCTTTTGGCATTCTGGCCAAAGTCCTAGGACAGAGGGCCTTAGACCGCTTATCTCATTCTCCTTTTCATTCCGAGCTTCCGATTCAATTGCACCATAAAGCCTAAAGGAGCAGTGCCATGAGGCCTGGTCCTCGAAAATTGCTTGCTTTTGGCTCGATCTCATCTCCAGCCCTCCCAGGCCTATACTATCCTCTACCCTCTCTTCTCTTACATCGTTAAGTATTGACTTCCATGAATGGATGAAACTAGGTGTCACTGTGCCAGAATCCCTTCCCATCAAATTGCTTTGTGATTCTGATTCGAAGAAGAGTGCATGGCGCATCCCATTCTTTTCTACTGCCCTTCCCTCAAACTAGCCATCATTCCGGTCGAATAGCGCCTATGTAACCGTATCATAAATCACTGCAGCGACGCCTATAATTGCCACCGATCTCGACCACATCACAATCGCAGCTGGGACTGGTCCCGAGTTTAACACGGGAACGCCCGCTCTTGGCCCTCGTGGTCGAGCACAGGGATATACATAAATTCATCGGTGTTTCGAGGTGTCCGAACACCAAGGACATATCACCCAGCCAGCAGATGGTCAACGCCAACCCGAGAAAGGACCATCACCGACGCTTTAACCTCGCACGGCTGGACTAATCCGTGGTTAGACACCTGTCACTGACAGACAATTGGCCGCGCCACGATCATCGCGCGCATGGAGGAGAGTTCGCACACACCAACAAGGAACCCTTAGGGCCTTGACCCAACTACGCGGCCAATTAAATGACGCAATATCTCTCTTCCACGGACACGGTGGGGAACATATAGGTCGCGAGCCTTCAGTAGGTCAGCGAAAATGGGCCTGGAACTTTCACCCCCGTCAGGAGTGATTTCTGGAAAGATCACTGTGTAAGGAGAGGATCGAAGGGGATGCATGGGATTTCCCGATGGAACAAATAAATTTCTTGCCCCTTACTTTATTACCCGATACCCATGCCGCGAAACTTTTCGTGCACAGGCAGTTTGCCAAAAGATTGAGCCAGAATCAACCCTGCGTCTTGCCAACCTGTTCTACCATTCGTTAAATTAGGATTCTATCTACTCGTTATCCGTGCCATCAGTTATCCCTCACATTTAGTGAAGTGGGTGTTCTAGTACATGGGGTGGTCTGCCACGAACCCCTGAACAGGTAACCCTCCATTTCGTTGTGGTTTCTAGGAATTCATGAGATCAACTTGGAAAACACTCAAATTCATGTAAAGACATGTTGTTGCCGCTGGGTTTAAGAAATCGAATAAGGGTATTTTTGCCAAAAATTCACCGAAACCAACCGCATGTGTTTCCATTGTATAGATTCTATTCCTTCCATTTTCATTCAAACGCAGATCGCCCACATTTAGTGAAATCAGTGCTTTATGACATGGGTGGGTCCTGACACGATCCCCTGAGCAGTGTAACCCTCCATCTCCTTGCGGTTCTAGGAAGCCATGAAATAAACTTGAAAGACACATAAAATTCACGTAAAACATGTTCCTGCCGGTGGGTAGATCAAATAACCAGCCAGAATCAGAATTTTTCAGAATGTCTTAGGTCCCCTAAACTAAATTAATATTCAAATTTCAAAGGCTCAATTTGCTAATTTGCCCAGTGACCTTCCAGCCATGTTTGTCGCATAAAGACCCGAGATGTAGTTGCCCTTGAACTCCCTGCACCCAGATGGGAGATTAATTCCATAGTAGCAGCTGTTCATTGATGAAGGCACCGACAAACTGGGCGCTAATTACGGGAATGGGCATGGTAGGCCGTGCCACCCGTAGCCATCTGGCCAATTGCCCCAAGGCAACCTTGAACCCGAGCTGATGCTTCACCCAGGGGTGCTCCAAGGCCTCCGCGAGAACCGTGCAGCTCCCCCAAAGTAGCTGCAGCTCCCCCCGAAGTGGCGGCTGCTCGTCCAGCACACGGCCGTTGCGGCGCCCACTGTTTGCAGGGCGCGTGTCTGTGTCTCTGCGCTCGCACGCTCTTTCTGCCCTGCTTCCGCTCTCTGCGCTCTATCGGCTGCTCTGCGTCTCCGACCACTGCCCGGCCTGCCCGTCTTTGGCCCCGATTCGCGCTCTGCCTGCCTGTGTGATACCACCCAGCTCGAACTCTTCGGGTGTTTAACTCCTCTATTTCCTTCTGAAGTCAGATGATGTCATCCGTGGTTTCTTCTGTCGTTGTCGAGCTCTTTATCCAATCTTTTAACCTCATTCCACACAAATCATTCTCATTGTTGTTTCTGTCGGGTCATCGTCGTGGTGGCCCTGCTCGGGAATTGTTCCCGAGTCTAATTCCCGATCGATGGTACTAACTTCAAGTGGCTGCTGAGCTGCGTATTTGTTCCGCACGGTCGGGTTCGATCGCGGCGATCGTTCCTATTTCGGTCGGCTCTCGAACGGAATGCGCCGTTATTTGCAGCTGAACTCTTCTATTTCATCGATTTCTGGCCGTTCTCCAATAGCGGGTTCTTCAAGGGTTCCGCTAAATCGCAGTGTTTCGTAAATAAACTACAATCGCTTTTTTTACTCGGCCCGTTTGGCTCAAAAGTAATTTGTTTCCTGGTCATTTTCGATGTCAAACACCAATTTTTAAGATTTCGATAGGTAAAAAAGGCATTTTAGCATGATTTTGTGACATTTTTGCGTTTGTCCCTTCTGTAGTAATATCGATTGATTTTTGACTTGTTCTGACAAGAGAACGACCGCATCGCGACTGCGCAGCGAGCTAGTGGTCTATCTTGCGCCTGAAATTAAATTATATTTTCTGAGTTTTAGAGTTAACTAGGGTCTATTCCAGTTAGGGGGGCATCATGATGCAGTTTCTCGGCGAGCTAATGTAAACTCGAACATTCCAGCTTCTCACGCATGTCAAGTGACTGCCCTCACCCCCACCCCCCTAGGCTGGCTACACTCCCCCTGGCTCAGGTTACCGTAGCTTTTTGGGAGTCACCGCACCATGATGCCCCCCCCCTAACTGGAATAGACCCGTTAACTATGTGCTCTAGGCCGGTCACAGCCGGTGAGCTTTACTTACTTCAATTTAACTTTTTTTTTAAATTTAATTCTTGGTATTGATTACTAGGTCGAATGCCAGATAACCGGTTGACTGACCGTTCCGGCCAACCTGATGGTCTGTTGCGATCGGCCCACATAACCCCTGGGTAAACCCTTCATATAACCCTTTGCCCGGACACAATCTTTCCTCAGAAAGTCTAAAAGTTTTCCTTCTAAAAAGCTGGTTGGAATGTTGCAAATTCGAATTGATATCCATCCCTTTAGAGCCGCTCCTTAAACGATTCGATTTCATTCCCCCGAATCGTTCCGAATTCCATTGACGGTCTCGGCCAATCAGTTCTCATTTGTGATGCTACGGAGCTGTACCACATGGTTTTGTTGATACTTTGTTGACTACTGAAAAGTACGAGCTCGTTAAAGAGAGCGTCAAGTGATGTCCCACAAACTTATTTACTTCTCCTTACTACCAATATTTCCTGAATAAAAGCGTATGAGCGCTTTCTGACGATGTCGCCGGGGCGGGGAGGGCGGTGGGGGGCGCTAGGATGGGTTGTCGACGCTCCCACGGCGATCTTGACAAGCCCCATCCGGGTCAGGTCAAGTCGAATCGAATTAGCCGCGCGGGTCTGGATCGTCTGGGTTTACTTGCCATGATGAATTGATGAGCTTGCAAAAGGTAGCTGGTTCAACTCGAATTTGATTCTTGTTAATAATGTGAGCTTCGTTTTTCATATTTCTTATTGTTTGTAGTGTTCGGGTAGGTGAGCTAGCAAGAAATCCTTTTAATTTCCTCTTTATGGAGGTCGTTTATGCACTCTTCTGTTGATTTCAATTCCTGGAATTTTTCTTTGATTACAATTAGTCCGCTTTTCTTTGGGTCAAGTGTGAGTGACACTTTAAAAGGCGCAAATGGTGGCATCGGGGGGGGGCGGAGGGGCCACTCGCAAATCGCTATCACAAATCACGAAAACCTCCGTGTTTAGGTTTGACTCTTTAAAGAGAAAGAGGAACTTCCGGGTGTACGGAAGCCAATTTTTTTTTCTCGAGGCCCCCCCCCCCCAGCCACATTGCGCCCTTCAAAATTTCAATTCTACTGCCGCTCTGCCGACTCGTGCAGTTGTGCGTGAAACGTGCAGAAACTTGGCTGGTCTGGAGGATCTAATCGTTCCATCAAAATACGACTTCGAAAAGCTAACAGATGTATGGATAACATTAGCTTATGTGTAACTGAAGTTTCGTCAGTGTTCATGAAGTTGTTAATTATCAGTTGTTGGTCATATTTATTTGTGTGGAATTTATTTACCCTAACTTCTCATTTTGACAAGAGGTGTTCCTAGTAGTTATTACCTGAGTAATTTTATCGTCAGCGAGAAGTGTTTTACTCTTATGAAGTCTGTCTTACTGCCTCATCGATGCCAGAGGTTCGATTGGGAGAGTGAGGGTTTCTTGGTAGTAAGTACAACTTCACTCTTTCCATTTTTCTTAATTTTGCTCCTATTTTATTGCGCCGTGATTTTACTGGTACTGGTCATGGTTGGTGATTATTTCTAGGGTAATGTGAAACTTTCCAAGTGCTCCTTGAAGCTATTTCATTTCATCAGTTCGGATTAGTTTATAACTTCCAATTGGCTGTTTTTGTCTTGGTCCAGAGAATTTCTACCAATTTCCACTTTTATCCGTGCTAGGCTCACGCAAGGTTGATGCAAAAGTAGGTATCACCGTCTAAGCGGCTCGATCAATAAGCATGGTTTACATTTCGTAACGTCTGATTGAAGACGGAATAGCCGTGTCATGATGGGTTTCTGCAATGCCATGCATTTTGTTACACAGCTCATTCATGAATGACCTTTAATCTGTCATATGGTTTGTATCAGCAACGACATTCCATCTGATAAGCCTTGAAATGAAAACGGATGTTGATTAGATTTCGCTGTGAATTGGGGCTTTCCCTATCGCTCTGTAGAGCTTCACTTAACAGTTGTTTACCGTGCACAAAGCTGTGGCGATAAGCATCGCTTAGATCCGTTGTGGTTTTCTTCTTCTTCCCGAGCGCTGTTCTTATGCGGGGGATCGTCATTAAACCCGGATCTCGCGTCGTTATCTCTCAGAAACGGCTGCCGGCATAGCGATTTTATTCCGCATAAATCGTATACAAATTTATTCCGCGTTATTGTTTTGTCGGGATTCAATCACGGTCGAATTGCATGTCAAATGAGGCAAGCGGGCGTTTAAGAAGTGGTATTCGAATTTATATTGGCATAGTATTACATTTTTGCCTTTTCGGTCTCTTGTTAATGCACTTTTTTGAACTTGCTACCTACTGGTTTACGGACTACTTGCACTTTCGTCCATGGTCCTGCCACGAATGGCGGAGAGCACAGACGATCAGAGAATGGCGCCTGGCTCGGCTCCAAATCCCAAGGAGGGAGGTGAGAGCCTTGTAAGGGGAGGGAATCCGAGGTGGGTGAGCCAATTGCATTGTGGCAAAAGTTTGAATGTGTGAGATCACAGTGGTCATGAGCCGCTGATAAGGTGAGAGAGCGCAGACGAAAGCGTCGAGTGAGGCAGCTTAAAGGACCGAGTTCAAGTAGTCCGTCGACCCTACCTACTAAGCTCTGAACGGTTGCGACGTATTGAAAGCTTATCTTGGTAAGTTTTCCTCAGACGTAATTCGGACAGCGCTTGTAAAGACGAGGGGTTTTCTCGTATGATTTTCTACTTGTTGAAGTGTAGGGAAACGATTTTTTTTTATGAAATTTCCTGTTTCATATTTCCTATCTATAAAGTCGTTTCCTTAATTTCTTATAACCCTGGTACATTTGTTTCTATTAATGCGGTTTCTGTTCTGCTTGTTTGAAACATATAACCCTTTATTGTTTGCAACATATAACCATAAGAGAATCTGATTGCTGCTTCTCTGCATAACTTCATTTTTCGTTAAAGAATGATTGGATGACGGTCATGGGGTCATGCCGGATAGCGTAGGGTTGTTAGATGTTTTCTGAAAGGGGTTTCCATGCGAAAAATAGTGCTCCGACAACGAGATACGGTGACCCCTCAAAAGCAGGGTCAATAGTCCGGGCGAATTGAGAATGCACTGACTGCCAATGGTTTCCTATGAATCGTCATTTTTTTTCTATGTGAGATTGAGCAACTTCAAGAGAAGTAATTATTAAGTAATAGGAGTTGTTAGTTAAAATGTATTATGGTGTTTTCTGTCCAAGTGGTTGGCGCTGCGATCAAGTTGTTGACGCTAAACTTCCGCATTTCCTGTGAAACTAGCAGTTAGAGGTTTCCAATACCCCTCTCTCGTCACTCAGCAACTTCTGTGGATCTTCCTCAGACTTTCAGAACCTTGGGGACATTCGCTGTTGGTCAGTTGTTGCAGCCGGAATATTGCCGCGTAGGATTGGTTAACACACAGGCCTTTGTTCCCGCGAACGGCCTGGCGCTTCGACTGTTCGGACCAGCGTTACTAAAATATAGGGCTCTCGAATAGGTTTCCTAGAACTGCGATAGGAAGCAAATAGACTTTATTTTAGAATTTTGAGGTGGACTGAAGTGCATGCTATGTTACAGGCTTTGTGTCAGGACTTTAGGATTTTTCAGGAGTCTTCCTAGTAATAAATTTTAAATAATTCAAAAATTGTTGTCAACCTGGAGAGTTTGGAGTACCGAAGTGGTCAGAGGTGTTCATCTTTTATTCCCATCCCAATATCAGCTTTTGGATATGGTTGCTTTTCATGTAGTAGGGCGATCAGGCGTAATTTTGTGTAGGTTCAGTGATCCACCTTTTTATTGAAGTGGTGGAGGGGGGGGGGGTGATCGAGCAGGTGCATCATTGCATAGCTGATTATTAATGGTTTTCTAGAATCGGCATAATCAACTCGTCCTGTTTTTCTCATCCAATGCTGCGGTTTATGGCGCTACCATGACAGCTTACTCTATCTGGTTTTTGAAAAAGGCTCTGGAATGTTGTATTGAAGTTTGGCGGTGGTAAATGGTTACTAAACCGCATTATTAGGTGAGAAATAAGAGCAGAAAGATTACTGATATTATGACTATTCTACAGAATCATTAATAACCGTCTATACAATAATGCACCTGCTCAAGCCCCCCCCCCCTTTTTCAGGATGAGCAGCTGGATTATCGAACGCATGCAGAATCATGCATGATAGCCCTATTAACCATGAAGTAATCATCTACCCAAGGTGATTTACGAGAGGCCAAAAGTCCACATCTCTGTAAGGGAGAATCACATGAGATAAGGACTGATGAAGCTCGATTTTTGGGCGATTTTTTTTCAAAGCGCTACAAAGCACTGTCCAGCTACCGAAGAGCTGTCTTATCTGTCCAATCTCGTAGCGGTTGAGCATAATTCGATATGTCCAGTTATGTTACCTGGTACAGCATACAGATCTCTTCTCTACCTCCCTTTCCCTTCATTTTGTTAGCTCTTCCTTTCGCTGTTTTTTCCAAGATATGCTGAGTTTCCCCAGCTCCTTTCTCATGATCATGTTAATCCTTTCCTCAGCACGAAGCAACATCTAGGCAGGGATAGCCGAGTGGTTAATGGCAGTATGTACTCCTGACCTATGAGGATTTCTCACCCCTCCTTGTATCCGGAGAAGACTATGATTCCGGCGGCGAACACTCGACCAGCTCAGTACGCGTTCAGAGAAGTTTCTGATCGTTGGCATGAACGCCGAAGAAGCTATAGTTGTGACCAGGCGGGTTTCGCAAGGCTGTTATCAGCATAACGCGTCATGGCTTTTTTCTTGGTTGAGGTTTTACACCCTCTATAATGATTCACAGGAAAGCTGGCACGTATCCTCATGCCAGTAACTTCTCTTTGACTTAGGAAATTGGCCCATTCTAATTTTATTCCAATTCTGTCTTCATATACTGCATGTTCAACCGTGAATGTACGGGTGATGTCCCAAGAGGAGTTTTCAAGGTATGAAAGTGGGGTAGTTGACTTGCATGGAGCAGAGGTTTGCGTTGATTGTTCCGACTGTTTCCCTTCTTCTTCAGTTGGATATTTTCGGGGTTGTAGGGGAAGGGGGCGATATTTGTTTGAGATCTCAAGAACAAACTCGGCTAGCGCAATGCTCCAAAGTGGAAAGGCTGCGGCGGGAGCGCCTCACCCGATTCCTCGCTAGTTTTGAATGCTATTTCCTCGATGCTGTCAAAGATCAGTGAGTACGGGGAGAGTCGTACTCTGTTCATGGGTCCATTTTTTCTTCTCTTTGGCCCAGAGCTCTGCTGAGCAGGAGGAAGTGTAGATGTTTTCCTGTCAAATGGTTAAAGGCCTGTGACGGCGGTCCACACGGGGCGATAAGAATTAATACCGGGCCTATTCCAACTCGCCCATGCACCCTATCAAGGACGACAAACTTCAAGGATCTATGCATACGCCTAGCTGCGGACTCATTAGTCGATAGACTAATATACGCGTGCGATCACTTTGTATGTGGCGCATTCCAGTCGGTGAATCCGGGCTTCCCCCTTTTTTGGGCCTTCCAATGTCGAAGTACCATTTTTTCCGCGCTAAAAAGACCAAACGGGAAGCAGTAAAGGAAGCGGGAAAA